GAAGTATTTGACAATGAGTTTATTTCAAATAATCTGTACGCTCTTGAATTCAGAGGTAATGGCACATAGATTCATTCCTCTTTGAGGTTCCTCTTCCCTTGTCTGACTCAACTGTTTTCCCAACTTACAGCAGATGAATATGGCAGCCTAGGCCATGGACGGTCACTCACATCTGTAATCCCAGCACTTTGGGAGACCAAGGCAGATGGATCACTTGAGGTCAGGAGTTCAAGACCAGCCTGGCCAACATGGTGAAAACCCGTCTCTACTTAAAAAAAAAAATGCCGGGCCCAGTGGCTCAAGCTTGTGATTCCAGCACTTTGGGAGGCTGAGGCAGGTATATGACGAGGTCACGCATTCAAGACCAACCTAGCCAAGATGGTGAAACCCCATCTCTACCAAAAATGAAAAAATTAGCCAGGCATGTTGGCAGATGCCTGTAATTCCAGCTACTCGGAAGGCTGAGGCAGGGAACTGCTTGAACCCAGGAGGCAGAGGTTGCAGTGAGCCGAGATCACATCACTGCACTCCAGCCTGGCCAACAGAGTGAGACTCCATGTCAAAAAAAAAAAAAAATTAGCCAGGTGTGGTAGTGGATGCCTGCACTTGGGAGGCTGAGGCAGGAGAATTGCTTGAGCCTGGGAGGCGAGGTTGCAGTGAGCCAAGATCAAGCCACTGCACTCCAGCCTAAGCAAGAGAATGAGACTCGGTCAGACATACACACAAAAAAACAATATGGCAGCCTACACTTCATCTATTAATATTGTAACTGTTAGTAAAATAAACCTAATAGGGACCAGGCTTAATTCCAACTCATTAAATTTCTAAGTTGAGACTATTACCTTTCTGAAGTTAGCCTATCAAGATGGCTTTCTGATCTTCAAAAAAGTTCCTATAAGAATCCCCAATGTAACCCTGTGGTTTCTGTAGGGAAAGCCCACTAACACTTTCTCAAATGCATTTTAAATTCTTGAAATTAAAGCATGTGGCTGGGCACAGTAGCTCATGCTTGTAGTCTCAGCACTTTGGAAGGCCATGGTTGGTGGATCATCGAAGGTCAGGAGTTCAAGACCAGCCTGGCCAACATGGCAAAACACCATTCTATTAAAACTATAAAATTAGCTGGGCTTGCTGGCACATGCCTGTAATCTCAACTACTCAAAAGGCTGAGGCAAAAGAATCATTTGAGCCCAGGAGGAGGAGGCTGCAGTAAGCTGAGATCAGTGAACTTGATTAATAAAGCAAGAAAAATGCATTCTACAAATACAGACAAGCAAAGACAAATAGGACAATGAACTGCAAACAGATGAGAACACTAGAGTTCTGGTTAGGGAAAGCCTAATGAGACAGGTAAAAGTCAGCAGGATTCGAAGTTGGTATCCATACAGACAGGCAAAGAAGGGGAAAGCAGCCCAAGCCAGGAGTTAATGGAAATGCAGCAGTTAATGGAAAGCAATGGTAATAAACACATGCTCTAGGAAAGCCTATGTATCAATCCATGAGCAATATTAAAAAAAAAATCAACAAGATCTCTTCTCGCTACCTTGACTAATGATATGCTATCTAACCCTGGATTTATCATTTAATAAAATTCAATCATAGTTTATCAACCTCCAACATGAAACTCTATTCAGTAATAGTAATATTCTAATTCAGTAATACTGTATTACCTGAAACTATATTTGTAGCTTATCTCTTTTTTCTCCCCTCAACATACCAACCCACATCAAGGAGAAATAAAATCTGCCCTGCAGATTCTGACAGCCTGAGTTTAATTCTGGCTCCAAGATTTGGAGCATCCTCAGGTTAATTCTTTGTTCTTCCCCTTTCAATAGGATAGTATTGCCAACTAAGTCAAGCTTATCCAACCTGAGACCTGTGGGTGGCATGTGTTCCAGGATGGCTTTGAATGTGGCCCAACATAAACTTCTAAACTTCCTTAAAATTTTATGAGATTTTTTTTTGGTGATTTGTTCATTTATTGGCTTATCTGCTATCACTAGTGTTATTATGTGTGGCTCAAGACAATTCTTCCAATGTGGCCCAGAGATATGCCTGAACTAAGTCATGGACATTGTAGAGATTAAATAAGATAATCCATGTAAAGAGTTTCACACAATGATCGATGAATAAATGCCAGTCATTGATAGGACTGCAATGTTATAAGCAATGCTAAGCATTACAGATGAAAGAAATTGCCTTCTATTTTTTGTGAGCCTGTATAAATCACATATAGCTCCTGAAAGAAGTAACATATCTCCTTCAGGAAAAGAAAAAGAATCATAACTGGATGCACAGATAACCAATTCCTGTGGTTTAAAGTAGATACACCATGGTTTGCTCCAAAATCAACCCAGAGAAAGCCCAAAATGGAAGAGACCTGGATTTCCAGTGAAATAATTAGTGTTCCACCCCCTCCCCATTTCTAGGCATTGACAAAACAGATAATCAAAGATTTCACAGACCTAGAACCTAAAACAAGTCACTAATAAAAACAGCAAAAGCCTATCATGGAGTTTTCCTTGAGCAATACTATGTGCTAAGATGTAGCAATATTCAAAAAGCCTAAAACAGATCCTCGGCCATCAAAAGGTAGAAAGGCAGAGACTGTGCCCCTGTCAACTTAAATCATCATGTTAATATTAAGCCTTTTACAACTCAAAATGATACTGCATAGCTGGAGCACAAAGAAAGGCACAGATGTGAGCTCATGCATAAAAAATTAAGAAACAAACAATATTTTAAACTAAACTACACTTTTAACTGAGTTTGAGAAACTTGTATTAGAAAAAAAGTCCCCAAGTTTAACTAGAAGTCAGATCCATGTAAAAGTATGCATGACTTCCTTTTTTAAAGTGACTGCCAGTTGCCGTGTCATGCTACCATGAACACACAGCTTGTGAACTGAAATGCACCTAGCATTTCTTAACAGAATACCACGTCAAAAGATGCTTCTTTCCCTCTGGTGACGGAGAAGTTCAGAGTCAATCATAGTTTCTTCAACAGGATTGACTACGTGGTTTTTGTTTATTTTTAACTTTTTGGTAGAAATGAGTTCTCACTATGTTTACCAGGTTGGTCTTCAACTCCTGGGCTCAAGTGATCCTCCGAAAGTGCTATGATTACAGGTGTGAGCCACTGCACTTGGCCCTGACTACATGTTTTGAAAGAATATGCCTATCTTTACTATTTAAAGCATTATTTTCCATCTGAGATTTTCTTAGACATTATTAGATTAGTGCAAAGTCACTGTGTTTTCCAAAATGTTCTATGATATTTATCCTAAATCATAAAGGAATAGCTCTTCCCCCAAGGACCACACTGCAAATACTTCCTCCTTTTGCAATTATCCTATAACAATGTCATGGTACAGATACAAAAGGTGTGTGTGTGTGTGTGAAAATGACTTAATGGATCTATTTTCTTTTACAGATATTTTCCATCTATTTTGATATATGGTGAGAAAAAGCTAACTTTTCTAGGTGAATGGGCAGTTGTTATAAACACTAAGTAAATTATCCTTTTAAAGCTACTTATCTGAAGTGCCATCTTTAACATACATGCACATACCTATACATATCATGTCTGTTTCTATAACCCCTAATCTGTTTCAATGATCCATTTGTTAACCCCTGTAGCAATGCTATGCTGTTTTAGGTATTGTAGCTTTACATTATACTTTGCCATAATTACTGTCTTTTCAAAGAGTAGTATAAATTGCAATTGTACCCCATTTTATTATCTACAATCAATTTGTCCAATTTCCCCTTGCTTAATCTACCCCCAACACACAAATATCAATGTGATTTTGATGAGATATAATGGCCCTACTTGTTTCATAAACCAAAAATTAAAGCTAGGAATTGTCTACAACACATACTTATTAATGTGGAATATTCTCAAGGTTGTATACTGATTTTTCCCTCAAGATGTAATTTGTCATTTGTTTTTAGAGTTGTGGAATATTTAGGAGGATCACTTGAGCTCAGGAGGTCAAGGCTGCAGTGAGTTATGAAATACTAGACAAAAAAATGAATATTTGAAAAACAACATTTTGTTTATTAGTTCAAAGTTATGTGTTTATAAAGCTGTACAGAAAATAAAACCTGTTTATTACATTATTTAAATTATTTATATTCTTACTTTTTTAGTCAACAATGTAACAATTTTTGGAAGGGAACATACTGATATTACCTACTACGGATATGACTTTGCTATATTTTCTATTTACAACAGTTTGAGAATGAATGTTTTTGTGTTATGTCATTTGACATAATAAAGAAAAAAGATCCTGGTGGTTAGAATTTCTATCATGTCAATATAAAATGCCCTTTTTACTCCGATGTAGCGTGATACAGTGATCCTTCCTTTTATTGTATTAGTTCTGTCTGCTGGAACTAAGCTTACTCTTTTGTCCATAGTCTGTCTCAGGACTTGTCTTCTCAACAGGATGCAACTATGTTTGCATTTTAACGTGAGCTCTGAGTCCTTAATTTTTATTCAAAGAAATTCTTCCTTTTACAGTTATTCTAACAACTATGCTTACCCTAATACACATCCCTCTAATTTTCCTGTGTATACTTTTTTATTGTATTCTCTTAGCCCTCCCTTTTTATCCATGACTGAATCAAGTTTGTTTAACTTTTCTTTGCATTTTATGGCCACTTATAATTTAGCATTTCAAAACTCATTAAATATTTTGCATATATGTCAAACAACTAAGCTTTGGACCTTATTATGCAAGTAAATAGGAAATTACTCTAAGGTCTCTCTTTTGTGTGTGTGTCTGTCTGACCAAAAAAAAATCCAAAATATACTCCACTTGGGGTGGTAACAATAAGTCACCTTAAAATAGGACCACTCTGGCATTTTAAAAACCCATGTATTAACTATTATGAGCCAGGAAAAGGCAGGACAAGTAATTTCATATTAAATTAGTAAGAAGTTAGTTCAATGTATCTTTCCAACATCTCTGCATCCTCAAAAGACAAAGCTCTTACCGTTTCTTTTGGAATCTGCATCTGGCTTGGCTCTGCATTCTAGAAGAATTGAAGAAAAACATAAATACAGACTGACCAAAGCCATCTTCAACACACAGGGACACAATGATTTAAAGAAAATTTTGTTGATTCTTAAAATCCACAAAATATATAAAGGGTAATTATATGATGGCTGATGTAATACTCTGTCTTCCAACTTTTTGCTGATGTGTGTGTTTATGTGTGTGTTCAAAGAAATTTTTCTAGATATACATTTTTACTTGCTCATTCACAGTACATCATGAATTTATTATTTGGAGGAAAACAAGTCTCACCAAACTGCTTTCCTAATCATGGCACTGTTTCTAATTTTGCTTTTAAAATTTCCCAATCAAATCAAAGTTTTAAGGTATAGAATCATTTAATAGCTAGAGCAGATAATAACAGTTTGAACCACAGTCCGAACCACAGCTTTATACTTTAGAATGTTGCACAGAGAATAAATGTGATTTTTTTCATATAATGTAGACTTGCCTTAATTATCTAGGCATTTACAAGGTTGATTTATTAAAAAAAGGCACAGATTGATAAAAATATTTAGATTTAGACACAGGGAATTTAAACATAGACACCCCAAACACAGGCAAGTAGTTATCTCTACTGGATTCAAAGATTATTTTTAAATGCCCCCTCCCTTTAAGTTTTCAGGATCTTATTCTTTTAAATTCTGAAAAAGCAGCTGCAACATGCATAATAGACTGATGGCCTACTGGCATACTTCTTAATGAAAAGCTCACAAGCAATAAATTACATAACCAAGAAAAAAAAAAGTAGGTAGCAGAAGGGAACAACAGAAGCCTGGAAGATAAAAATTGGACAAGAAGAACCTGAATAACCTTAAGCTGGCTATATGTTGGCACTAACTCTGCAAAAGACTGCTTAAGAGCAGTGTCTAGGCTTTGGCAATCTAATAATGCTAACTAGTGCACTCGGAGACACTAAGGAAGAAAGCTTCAGCAAATCACATGGAAAGCTAGCTGTTTTTTTTTAAGTGCTCATTTACAATTTAATAGAGACATCTCCAGATTTAGGATCAGGTGGCATTTTAAGCACAAAATTGGATAACAGTGGGGGGAGAACGAAAAACTGAATTTAAATTGAGAAATAATGCATTAAACATTTTTAAATATAAAGAAGTTTTCACAATTTATTCAAAATCCACTTAAAACAAAAGTGTTCACTTTTCAACCCTATCACAGTCTGAAATTTCCAAGAAATCCACATTAAGTTTTAAGACCTGTGTATATCCAGGGGATGAGATATTCATGACTAAAATTTATTTTCACTTATAATTATTTACAGAAATATATAGTTTATATAGAGAATAAAAATATTTATTTTATTTCTAATAAAATATAAATTTTATCATAACACATCCATACCTGAAGACACAACTTAAGAGAATTAGGACTATATGACAAATTTGGAAACCTGGTTCCTAAAACCTTGTCACTCTAGATTATACAAATTCATTTCTGTTTAGAGCTAAAATCTAGCTGAAAAGAATGTATTCAAAATGATCCAAGTAGAATCTGTTTTTGCCATATTTAAAATACCCCTTGTACTTGAAATAAAACAATTTCCTTATCACATCAAAAGACAAAGGCAACTCCTCCAATTATGTCATTTTTATATAGCAGTGAAACCTAGCACTTTTGCAGAAAAACACTCAGAACTATGTAAATTTAAGACAATTATTTCATTCACACCAATATCATGTAAATGCTCAGATGTATTAATGTATGCATGAAAAGTGAAGGAGATAGGTTGCAAAGGTTATAAATGCCTTTTCATTTCCTTATGTATTCCTGAATAATATGACCTATATTTGTAATTAATAGCCATGAGGCTTATTGCCACTTAGATCTTTTTATTTTTTATAATAATTTTTTAAAAGGTATTACTTAACAGTAAGCAAGCAAGCATCTATTTGGCTTAGTGAACTATGAAAATGTGAAATATGAAAATTTGTCATATGCAGTGTGGAAGATGGCAAGCTTTCAGTGACAGTCTGTGGAGTGACAGTTCTGAAATAATCAGCATCTCTGTATTCAGTCAGTCTATCCGAGGTGTACAGTGATGAGCATTTGATGACCTCGAAAATATCCCTACAGTTTGATGTTTAAATACCTCTCCATTCATTACTGCAGATATCCATTTCTGAAACTAAGGGATTATTAGAGAAAAGAATGTTTGTATTCAATGAGGGCTGAAAGAAATATAAGATAATATAAAATCCTTGGAAAATGTCTCAATAAACATTTGCCATCAGGTAACTAATCTAGACACCTGGTTGCTGCACATCAGAAATCTTCATCTACCCTAAATTTACACACCAGTTCCCTTGGGTGGAAGGCGTCTTCCTGGCGAAAGACCAGAAGGCTCACAGTTCCTTCCATCTTGGTGCTTCTCAACAGGGAAACAACTTCCTCTTGGGATTTGCCCGCTAAATCTACTCCATTTACCTAAAACAAAACAAAAAAAAAAGTTTTCAGCTGTAATTCTGTGCAAATAAGTAACAGAAACACACACACACACTCACTCACACACTCTCTCTCTCTTTCTCTCTCTCTCAGAATGGCCATATCTGCTATGGAACATAACTCATTTCATGTACAATTCTGCCATGATCTGGGAACCACTGAGGTTTTGTGGCTAATAAAGAAACTAAGACCAGATATCTAGAAGAGAGGAAGTGGTCAATCTTTCAGTGTTCACCATTAAACCCAAAGTGACAATCACAGGGCAGTGACAAGTAACAAGTAATAAATATTTCAAAAATGTCAAGTTAACACAAAACTTACTGGCTTAGAACTGAGATATTTTGATGGCTTTGTGCATCATAGGTTTTCCTATACCAAAATAGGTGTTGCTTTTATAAAGGGTAATAAAAACACATAAAAAATATTTTGGTATAATATTTTCACTTTCAATGAAGTTTTACTGACAAATATAAAGAAATATAAAGAAAACATTTTACCCCTAAAGGTTAACATTAAAGAAACACAAATACAAAATAGTGTTTTTAGCAGGGAAGCAATATTTCACCTGAAATTTTTCAATGATATAAGAGATTTCAAAACAGGGGGAAAAAGTTAAAACAACTTATTCTTAGGGACTCTTATATCTCAAAGGAAGTATAACATCATTATCAAAAGCACTATATATTCCGCAGAAATGAGAGCATATGTTTTCTTTAAAAGGTATTCTACATTTTCCTTTTAGACAAAAATGACTTTTTGTCCAAGGCAAGTAAGTTTATAACTTAAACAGCAGTATCAGAATTTTTCTGTAGTTAAAATATGTTTTGGAACATTTCACCTTTGAAAAAAGTCAACCTCATATAGCTCAACGAACTATTATTAAGGAATTGCAGACATGAGGACTGAATTCAAGTCCCAGCAGAGACTCTTACAAATAAAACAAGCTACAACTGCAGACGTGGGCTAATGTACCACTCAATTTATACCCCAAGGACAAGCAGCCTTTTCAGGAAGCAGGACCCTAAACATAATTTGTACTCAAACAAAAGAAAGTGGGGAAAAAAAAATCTAGACAATGAAGTCACTTGATATTTTTTTCTTGGTATGATTCTAAATATTTGGACATTCAGAGAAAATACCTAAAAATATTAATATTGTATAGCTCCCACTATAGGTACTAGAAGGTTGGGCTTAAAATATGCAAAAATGAAGTTTCCATTTTAAGACAAAGCTGAGAGCTATGGAAATAAAGCCTAACTCTAAAGACATACAGAGCGCAGGTCTTCCTCATTGCTTTAAAATAAAAAAGTTTTTCTAATATGTTGAAAGTAAAGCGATTATATGATAAAAGAAAAAGTGATTCAACAATAAAGCAATTATCTTTAGAAAGAAAGAGGGAGAGGCAGAAAAGGATAGACGTATTTTTTGGGACTCAGAAGACAGGAGGACTGAATTCAAGTCCCAGCAGAGACTCTTACAAATAAAACAAGCTATGACTGCAGGCGTGGGCTAATGTACCACTCAATTTATACTCCAAGGACAAGCAGCCTTTTCAGGAAGCAGGACCCTAAACATAATTTGTACTCAAACATCTGTTATTTAGCTTCTAACAGTGCCTTTAAAATATGTTGTCACATGCACAAGACCAAAATAGTGGGAATGCAATTTAAAGAATCTAGGCCCAAAATCTAGATGGAAAAAAATATGGAAATTATCCCTATCCTCCCCTACTTTACAAAAATTCTTTAGGAGAACTCAATCTAGAGAGACAGAAACCACATACGAAACTATAAGAAAAAAGAATAATGTGGTAAAAGTTTACCTTAGCATTAGTATTTGAATACTAGTTAATTAGAAAACACAATATCTGCTAATAAAAATGCAGACTATATTTTCTCGGAAAAAAAAAAAACTAAGAAAAATGGCTAAAAATATATTTTTCAATATTCCTTTTCTCCTTTATGTGCAAATCATCACACAAACACAAACTATGTAGTTTGTGGGTTTTTTTTGTATTTCTAAGGCAGCTTCAAATACCAATGAACCCAACCTCAGAAGACACAAAAAAAATTTCAAAAACGATTTTTCTTTTCTTTCCTGACATTGGACTCTTATGTCTCAATTCATTCTCCATGCTGCCACTTCAAGTTTTCCTTGCTCCTCTTATCCAGACACACTGCTTTCATTTATTTCATCTGTCTCCGTTCTGAATACAAAGTGGTAACATTTCCATATTGCCAGACATATATATAAAGCCATATAGAAACATAACCTTATAGACATTTTATATGACAGAATGTTACCCCATAAACTAAATGTCTGAGTAACTAAAAATTTATAACTAAACTAAACGGGACTGGGCACGGTGGCTCAAGTCTAGAATCCCAGCATTCTAGGAAGCCAAGGTAAGCAGATCACTTGAGGTCAGGAGTTCGAGACCAGCCTAGCCACTGTAGTGAAACCCTGTCTCTATGAAAAATTAAAAAAAAAAAAAAAATAGCCGGACGTCGTGGGGCACACCTATAGTCCCAGCTACCAAGGAGGCTGAGGCAGAAGAATCACTTGAACCCAGAAGGTAAAAGCTGCAGTGAGCCAAGATCATGCCACTGCACTCCAGCCTGGGCAACAGAGCGAGACTCTATCTCACTGAAAAAAAAAACTAAATGGAAAGATAATTTCTCATCAAATAACATAGAAAAAAGGGTTGGGCACCATGGCTTACACATGTAATCCCAGCATACTGGGAGGCAGGAGGATCACTTGAGGCCAGCAATTTAAGACCAGCTGAGGTGACACAGTAAAATTCTACAAAAAATTTCAACAATTAAAAACAGATAAAAAAGATAACATGGAAAATGTAAACGTAAAACAGAAATGCAACATTCTGTGACGTATACTTCTGCTAAAATGTATATAATTTAATTTTATATTTTATGAAAATGTTTTTAAAAGTTGGCTCCTGGAAATGGGACATTTCAGGAATTAGGGAACATGTTGCTTGGGGATGTCACTTACCTCTATAAGTCTGTCTCCTGCCTTAAGTCGGCCATCCTGAATGGCCGCCCCCCGGGGGAGGATGTTTTTCACATAGATTGGAGCTGAGCCACCAATTGTTACATCTCTGGAAGTGATGCTGAATCCCAAACCTTCTGTACCTAAGTATGTGACAGGGAAAGAAAAGTAAATAAAATGAGATACCTTGAATTTTACAGGTGTATTGCACTAGTAGACTCTACCTCAACTTGACATTTTGTAACTTTCACAGTGGTCCACATTTCATCTAACACTTTAAAAGTTGTAATAAATTTTTCAAAATAGACTATATTGTGGAAGCTTTAAACGGTTTACATATCAACAGTTATTAATCTAAGAAGAAACAGCAATCTTCTCAAAGACAGATGGAAGTTAATATATAATCACGACTGCTAAAGGTTTTTATATCAATATTATCTTTGAATAGGAAATGCACTACATGAAGAAAGAAAAAGACCCACGGTACCTCAAAACTCAAGTATTATTGTGCAATAATGACATCCAAATTTTAAGGGTAAGAGGTACGAGCAAGGGAGACAAAAACATCCAGGGAGATGGAAAAGAATAGTGAAATGAACGATCTCTCTAGATACAGGTAATGAAACCTTTCCCAAAATCATAATTATTCAAAGCAATTTACTAAGAGGATAAACCATGAACCATATTATCTTTGCCTAGCTCACTTCTAATTCACCTAGATCTCACTAGGTATATTTCCTTCCCAACCCACCACTCCCAAAAAAGGCAAATTATTCAGTGAAGAATCATCTCAGATCATGACTACCAAACCTGGGGATCATCATATTTATGTTTAAAGGTACTAAATGAATGATGCATTTATAAATTACTCTGCTAAGTCACAGAACTTAAATTCTCATTTCTTTGGCAGCTTTACTGACAGGCAGTCCTATATGCTCAATACAACTCAGAAAAGGGTTTGTATGTCACTAGAATCAACATGCAATAAGCCAAAGTGTGCCCAGGAAAAACTGTGAAGATAATGATACATTTCTAATGAATCACAAAAGTTTTAGAATACTTCTAATAATGATTTCTACCTAAGCTTTTTTTAAAAGTTACTTCCTAAGATATTAGTTTCCATTTCAGTTAAACTAATGTTAAGGCAAATACTTGCTCATTATGGGAAGAATAAAGAGATCTGTAAAGGTGAAAAACCTAGAAAAGAGCACATTAATCTGATACAGCACTCAGTATAAAACTGTAATGAAAAGTATATAAGTGAACAAAAATGGGTGAATAAAAATGTAGATTAAAGAAACATTAAAGGAGAAATACAGAAAAAACTCCAAAATTATTCCTGTAGCAAAACCTACAATCAATACTCTCAACATCAAACAAAGCATTCATTTACTTCTAGTCTGAAGTCACTTTAGGGTGCCTAGACTATTAATTTCTAACGTCTTCTATGCTGAAGACCTGAATGGCATATTGTTCATATAAAATGTTTGTAATTGATCAGTGGAGACTTTTCCATATATCTCTGCTTTCACAAAACTAATGACTTGCAATAACATTTATTAAGTAAAAATTCTAAATTATTCTCCTTTTGCAATAGTAATTTCTATGAACTATGAATGCTGTTATAGGAACCTCAATACTATTAAAATATCAGCAATAACCCCTAAATCTATAAGCTAAAAAGTTCAGGCAATGACCTTTCAAGGAAAGGTAAGTAGATATCAATTTCATTTAACAAAGCCAACAAAACATTTTGAACTGACTGAAACAGATTACTGACCTTCTCCTCTGACTTTATTAAAAAACTAATTTCTACAAAAGAGCAGGGTATTTGAGAATGCCAAAATGGTAATAAATATTAAGAAATCATAATCATGGAAGCAAGTATACTGGGGCTATTCTATTGTCATGTTATATAATGTAGCTCCAAAATTAGGCCGAAAACCATCTTTTGCCGGCATCTTTTGCTTACTAAGAGTTGAGCCCAGTTTTTGAAGAATTGCTGCCACTCAAAGCCCATTAGCTCACTTTGAACTCAATCTGAAGTTCAATACTGACACACCCTGTTTTTAATATACTTCACTAAGAAATGCAATAATAACTGGTAAAAAGAAATCTGCTAGCCACAAGAAAAGTCTGTTCAATTCTCCTACAATCATTATTATTAAAATATATGTATTTAGTCCTAATTAAAGATAATCAGCATTCGTCTCACATTTATAGTAAACATAATTTTTATATAAAATATTTGTAAGTATTGGCAGCATGCACAGGCAGCATGTGCTTTTTGTCATACATTCTCACAGTTGGTAAATTAAAATCAAGATAGATCTATGGGACCCTATATCATTAACATTACTCAAGGTGTGAAAAACACTTAAAACCATTGTTTGTACATCCAGTGATTAAGCACAGTCTTTCTACATTAGCTTGTGTAAATGCAATCATATTTTTCATTAAATGCTATTAAAATAATATCTGCATTGAAAACAATGGTACTTTTAATGCCCAATCACCTCATTTGAAAAGTTCATGTTTTATCATAATTTGTCAAATATCCTAATTTTTGAAGAACTGTAATTAACTAAATGAATATTGCTCTATCAGTACAAAAAGTAAAAGATATTTATGAACGAATATCTTTATGACAATGGTGAAGCAAAATATTATACCTTTATTGAGAGATCTCACACAGAATTTTAATTTTTATACAACTCTATTTGTGGTTCTTGACATGTTTTTGGTTAAAAACAAGGGCCTGTCATTTAAGTAGAGCAAAAGGAGGAAAGAGGATGTGATATTTCCCTCATTTAGGCACTGACAGAGCTAAAGGGGTTTCTGTTGATATGCCTCTGTGTTTGCAAGAAGGCAAGCTGTCAACTCCTGATCATGTCAACCAAGTATTTAGAGCTTAAAAGCCAGTAGCGAGAAATAAGAAACTTGTGGTTCACATAAAGTTCAATGAAAGAATACAATTTCGAAAGGAGAAAGCAGCCTCAGGGCTGACAACCTTGTAAACGCTACCCCACATGGAAAGAAGAATGGTCTGAATATCCGGATGGAGAAAACATTCCGGTAAGAATCTGTGGCCCACAGCCATGTGACCTGAGGAAATAATGAACCCCTCTTGGAATCATTTCCATCCAACTGTAATAGTTGTTGGTTGAGCCCAGAAAAGATATATGTTATTTATAATAATACCATTTTGAAAGACATGATTTAAAAATATATGAAAATGCTCAGCTAAAATGGATCATGAACAGTAAAACTGTATCTTGGTACCTGGAAACACTGGGTGAAAATCATTAAGTCAAGTCCAATAGTTTGCACTGAACTTTGAAGGAGGCAAACTGCAAGAGCATGCTCTCTAAATGTAGGGATCCACTATATACTGGAAGGGTATTAAAATACAGAAATTGATGGACGATGTATGAAGAATCAGTAATCGCCATCATGACTTTCACATCACAATAAGAAAGAGAAGCAGGGCTGTGTATGGTGACTTACTCCCACAATCCCAGCACTTTGGGAGGTTGAGGTGGAAAGAATACGTGAGGCCAGGAGTTCCAGATCAACCTGGGCAACATGGCAAGACTCCCATCACTACAAAATTTTAAAATCAGATGTGGTGGCACATGCCTATAGTCCCAGCACTTAGGAGACTGACGTAGGATGTTGGGGGCTACAGAGAGCTGTAACTGTGCCACTGCACTGGGCATGGGCAACAAAGCAAGACCCTGTCTCAAAAAAAAACAAGAAAAAGAAAAAAGAAAGGGAAGTAATGCAGTAATACAAGAAAACAAAAGACAAGAGCCGACGTCCTGCCTTCTCAGCAACCTACTATGAACTGCTGGCAGCCTCACACAAATGGGTCACTCCCCCATAGCAAATACTGGACTGAAGTGCACGACCTCTGAAGTTCTCTTTGAGGGCTGTATTTAGACAGCAAGTGGGGCAGTCAAAATGGTCAGATCCTGACTACTGTTCTGTGTTTGATATCAATGTCCTGAAACCATCTTCATTCACAATCAAAAATTTTACAGCAGTAGTAACTGCTACCTTCTTCTCATAGACATATTTTAAAGTCTTATTCTCTGCACTTTTACATTTTAACTTCTACATGGCAAAATAAACCGGAGACATATAAGAAACACAATTTTAAATATGGTAAAAGGTAAGTAGCTTTAAAAATATGAATCAGTTCTTTCACAAAATAATGAGATAAAATTTAGGGTGCTTTGGGTTAGTAGGCTGACTTTTAAAATAAATTCCATTCCTATTCCTGTGTGCTTCTACTAAGGAAGGAAAAGAAATTCCACAAAACAAAAACAAGATAGTTCATACCTTTCTTAAGCTGGATATTAAGCCTCTTGCCTATTTTTTTGGTGTTATAACCACTGCTTATAGTCGTACTAAATACATTCTGAGGTGCTGGGGCCGGAGCGGATGGCGGTTTTCCCGAGGGGTGCACACTGTGAGGTAGTCGTGAGTGAGAGTCTATCTGCTCAGGCGGGTGGTTCAATCGGGGTGCTCTCTGCACTGTGTGAAGCCCTGCACTGTTCACACTCCTGTTGTCAATATACTGGCTGTCAGGGCTGAAGCGGCTTGAATAATAATTGTTCTTCTCACTTTGGGATAGTTGTTCATACTGCTCTTTATTTGCTGCAGGAACCACATGGAACCAAATGACGGGCAGACGCATGGCTTGGCGAAACATATGTTGTGCTCTGGGTTTGAGAAAGAATAGAAAATCAGCAAATTAAGACTGGCAGACTAGAAGATATTATGAGCTTAATTAAGTATACTAATTAAGCAATAGGAACTGACAGGCTGTTGAAATTGAAAAGAAAATTCTAATAACTAATTTATCAATCAAGTTTGCAGCTCTGATCTCCAAATAGATGTTTCTTCAAATATAAATTTCTCATTCTCTCAACAAAAATAAGAAAATTATCTACAACTATAGAAAAAATTCTGTTCTCTCAACTGTAAGTCATTAAACATGTTTTAAGTACAACAGAGGTATTATAATTTCAGTAATAGAAACCAAATGCAACCTTCTCTCTACAACACTGTCTAATATAATTTATAGACATTACAAAATATTTCCTTTTTAAGTTTTCAAAGAAAGAAAGACATAGCTTTATAATTATATTTAAAATCCTGGATTGGGTTAGACGTGTATTTAAATTTTTTTAAACGCACACACCTAGAAGACTACAGAAAGTAACTATTATTTATTAAGTTGGTATATGCAAAAATCTCAAGAACAGCAATCCAACCTTAATAATTCAAAATGTTGACAGCTGTGGGTCACAGTGCAACCATACAACCAGCCTGGGAAGCAGCTCTTTCTCATGCTGGTTCCCTAGTCAAGTCTCACTCCAAGTCCTTAAGAGTTCTTTTTGTTCCTGCCTTGTTTTATAAGAACTGGCCAACTTTTATGTTTTTCATTGACTAACAAACGGTCTGAATCAAGACAAAGGATATCTGAATACAACCCAATATTGAGGTGCAAAGGAGCTTTATCTGCTTATTTGTATCTAGGGAAATTGTGTGCAGCAAAGATAGACATGTGAGTTAAAGTATGATAAAAATGGGCACACTGCCAATTTTCAAAAAGGTGAGGAGCCAGCAGAATTGAAAGCCAAAACAGGGGCCATACTATTTAAGAAGAGTATATCCATCAAAGGACATTTTGAAATAGTCTAATGATATTAATTACTATGAGTATGATTAAATTTTTAAAAGCTAATGGCAGAAAATATTTCTCTCCAGTATACAGGCTGAGATCACAGACATGTGGTTTGAAGCATGTCAACTGACTGCACTCTGTCATGCCTAACACACGTAAGAAAAGAAGTGCAGTGAGCACGCACTTACTGTTCAAATCTTCTGTTTCGAAGGTCGCCATCATTAATCCTGACAATGCAATCATTCTCGTGAAAAAGATTTTCATGTTCAGCTTTACCACCTTTTTCCAATCGTTTTACTAATAACCCCAGGGTTCTGGAACATTAAGAATGCAAATGATTACACATGTGACATCTCCACCATGCACACTGCCCTACCACTTTAATGCTGGTATTATGTTTACAAAGGAGCATGTTAAAAATCACTATTCAAACATTTTTAAACAACCGACAAAAATCACAACAGTTTAAATGATATGTAAAAATGGATCCCTTCCATATAGTAAGAAATCATTTTCTGGCTGGTCAGTATTATGTTTCGAGAACAAGCTAAAACACTCTCTATATTTACAAATGCCCCTAACAGAGCCCGCCTAATGGTTGAGTGGGTATTGCAGTGTAGAGCATGGATAAGCACGTATTTGTGAATGGCTTGGGCAATTTTCTGTTTTAAGCCAGCTGGTACGCTAGCTTAAAAGACGGCTGCAACCCCCATCTTTCTATGAAAGTGAAGGTAATGAGGAAAAGCTAACCTCATCACATTGAAGGTTTGAGAATGATAATAGGAAAGATTTAGGAAATAAAAGAGTTTCCGTGCTTCGCATTTGAATTTGACAGTGCTTAATATTGTGAATTTCAAACCTGTTAGGTCTCCCAAAAGTAAGTCATTTATTGTCAATATTCCCATTTGGAAAAACAAATGACCAAACAGAAAAGCATCAGTGAGAGGTTCAAATAATGCAAATCACCATTCATTTCTTCTATACATGTACACACTGGGGTTGCAAGAAAAGTGTGAATGACCTTTGAGAGACCCCCTACTTGCTCTAGAACATCAACAACATAACTGATAGGACATTCTATATAGACTGGGACAAATATGAAATACTTCTTTAAATCACAGTATAAGCAACAGGGGTCTTAACCTAGCTTTGATTGTTGTTATTTATTTTTTTTTACTCTTATTTTATTTTTTTTGGAGAGAGAGTTTCCTTCTTGTCGCCCAGGCTGTAGTGCAATGGCATAATCTTGGCTCACTGCAACTTCTGCCTCCTGTGTTCAAGCAATTCTCCTCACTCAGACTCCCGAGTAGCTGGGATCACAAGTATGTACCACCATGCCCAGCTAATTTTTTTGTACTTTTAGTAGAGGCAGGGTTTCACCATGTTGGCCAGGCTGCTCTCGAACTCCTGACCTCAGGTAATCCACCTACCTCGGCCTCCCAAAGTGCTGTGAGCCAGCGCATCTGGCCTGATTGCTGTTAATTACTTCGTGGTTGGCATAAATTTGTATCATATTAAAATTTTTATAAGAACTTATTTTTTGCACTTCCAAAATTTGTATTTTCTTTCACAATTCTAATAGACAAAAATGCCTAGACAGACACTAAAATTGAGAGTCCTGCATAAATTAAAATTGAAGACACCCTAATTTTCAAATAATGTCTATATGAATCCCAAGAGAACTGTAACTTGCAGTCAACTGTATATGTTTTCCACCAGAAATGTAGCAAAATAGATAGCTGCTGCTTCTATACTTTTCCAGTAACTGTTGTATCTGTTCCATGGACATATGCCACATTCTTCTGTTACATACATACCTTATCTCTATTAGTACATTGTAAGCTCCTAGCTGAGAACGTAAGATTCGGCAGTTCAAGCACTTAGCTAGTAGTAAGGTCTTGATAAATGACAATTGAAGGAAGGCATGATGGAGTTTAGCTGAGGTAAACAAGTCTCCTATTTCTATAAAGCTTTTTGCAAAACAGAACACAAGTGAACAGAATTTAGATTCAGATCCTTTCTTCATGGAAGTATTTCTACTAAAGATACGACGAAATTGAAAAGAATTAAACTCAGGCAAAAGTCCTATTTCACTTGTTTTTTGTGGGTTTTCTTTATGAATATTTATAAGGTCATTAATTTCATTATAATTTTTATTAATAAATATAAGGAGGCAGCATTACTCGAGTCAAACCTATCAACTGGCAAGAACTGTAATTGTAGCAGTTGAGAATCAGCACCTACTAGTGTGAGAGTCTAAAAATATTAGTGACCCGTAAAAACAATATTATGTAGGCAATGTTTACTTACTGTCATGTATTAGAACTATATAAACATGTAAAATTATCTCAAATCAAAGGTAAGAATAAAGTACACTGATTTACCTTCAGGAGCAACTTAACACTCAGTTCATATTTGGGAGAAAGAGATTCCATAATATGCAAAACCAAAAATTAAGTTATTGTTTAAATGTGATCATGTCCATAATTTATCTTTCTGTGATTCCCTACTGTTTGTTTCTATCTGCAATTGAACAAAGTGTTTCATCATAGGAATCAAAGGAATTATTAAGATATATCTATGGTTCCAATAAATGAGGAAGATTAATACAAGAAATCAAATTAAATCGCAGTTATTGATACCACTAGAACATGCAGAAGATATCTGGCCACTTCACTTTCAAAGAAAAGCTTGAAGGAAAAGATGTCTCAGTTATGTGAGGTGGCACAGCTGTAGTTAAAAGCCACCACTATAAACCAAGCACACTTTTGGAATGTGTATGCTTTCAGTCCTTGTAATAAAAATATGCCCTACCAAGACTCACTCCAGTTAATGAGTTTTTAATTGGTGAAATCATAAGCGATTTCTCAATATGACTACAACATTACTGTAATCTAAAGTGACTAATAATTAGTACATTTTTATGTATTCTGAAATATTTTGTGTAATCTAAAATAGGCTATAGAACATTTTTAGAAAAAAATATATGTATATATAGTCTTTAATGGAAATTACTTAGCAGTTAATTAGCACTGATCATTTATTTAAATTTATAAAGCTATCTTGGATACATCCTCTCAGTATTTATGACAGTTTAAAATAGTATAACTTAGAAATCCTTACTTTATCTTTATTTTAATTTTTTTGAGACAGAATCTTGCTCTGTCATCCAGTCTAGAGGTATAGTGAGCTCAATTACAGCTCACTGCAAGCTCAAATCCCTAGGCTCAAGCAATCCTCCTGCCTCAGCCTCCTGAGTAGCTGGGATTAGAGGTGTGCCACCATCCTGGCTTGTTTGTTTGTTTTGCAGAGTCAGGGTCCCAGACTGGTCTCGAACTCCTGGACTCAAGCAATCCTCCTGCCTTGGGATTCCAAAAGTATTGAGATTACAGGCTTGAGCCACTGTGCCCAGCTCAAATCTGCTCTTTAATTCAAACATCAGTAACACTTTCCCGATAAGCAGATGAACAGATTTATATTCATCTCAATTTTTCTGTTTTAAACTTACGTGTTTTTTTTTCTATTAATCATTCTAGACTAACACACCATGTTTCTTTTCTTGAATGATTGTCTTTATAAATAAGTCCTCATCTATGGCCAAATGCATCAGTAATCCTAACATACAGTACAAATGTTACAAATCATAAATAAACACACTATACATTTACAGAAAACATAATAGAAATTTACTAAATGAGGCTTTGGCAACCAACATTGTTACAAGTCATTAACAATCTCAGATTCCTTTTCCTCAGTACTAGAGACCTGATGGGGGGCTGGGAGTAAGAGGGAGGAAGAAGACCCCAGAAGAGAAAAACTTCACCATGACTGACACAGCAAGTGATCAGGGAATCAAGGGAACAGACTGAATTAAGGTGAAGTTAGTAGCCTGCTGATTTCTAAGTACTTAACCACACTATTAGAATCATTCTCTCAAAAAGAATGGATTAATTTAAAAGGAAAGTGGTACAATCTGCAAAATTATCTCATTTACTCCACTAGGTGAAAATGATTACAAAGGAATGGGAATGAACTATCAAAAAAAAAATCACATGAAAATTGAACTGGTAACAGCTAGACTGAGAATGAAAAGAACCTCTGAAGGAAATCAAAAGTAGTAAGAGGAGACACTTTCCCGAAAAACGTGTGCTCACAAACAGATATATTTCCACACCCCCATTTTCAATTTAAAGCTATATCAAATAATATAATTAAAAACAAATTTTAGGGATATATTTTGCAAACCCAAAAGAAATTAGAGTTTGCTCTAAAGTAATAAAGAACTGCCTGCCTAGGGTGTGGCTGCTGCAACAGTTTTATTAGAGAAAGTGATCAAAGCAAATGAAGTTTGAACATTTTTGGCATGTCAGTATGGTGGTAGAAAGAAGAGTTTTCCTTCTCGGCAGCTAATACCAGAATTCTTTATTGGGGCACCCATGTTCCATCCTAAGAAACCACTTTGCAAAAAATAAAAAAGGTAGGTGTCAGGAAAGGAGGAATTGGAGTAAGCTCTGTTTGGGAAACTGTTCCAGGAGCAGAACAACTGCAGATTGGCTATGCTAGGAGAAAAAACATAGAAGACTTGGGCACTTATTAGTGGAGTGGTATACATTTAAGAAGAAATGACTGGTTGGGCATGGTGGCTCACGCCTGTAATCCCAGCATTTTGAGAGGCAGGTGGATCACAAGGCCAGGAGATAGAACCATCCTGGCTAATATGGTGAAATCCCATCTCTACTAAAAAATTACCTGGGTGTGGTGGCACACACCTGTAGTCCCAGCTACTTAGGAGGCTGAGGCAGAAGAATCACTTGAACCCAGCATGTAGAGGTTGCAGTGAGCCAAGACTGAGCCAATGCCCTCCAGCCTGGGTGATGACAGAGCGAGACTATGTCCCCACCCCACCCCCCAAAAAAATTGACTACAGGAGGTTCTGTGACACAGAACCTCCTCTACCTTCCTTATGAATCTAAGGTAAACCCTACTTGGCTTTATGCTTTTCAAGAAAATGGATTTTTCCTGACAGATATGAAACATCCCCAAATTTATTCCTTTTCTAGTTTCCCATATTTTCTTCAAAATTTGAAAAAGAAAACACTACATCTATTGCATACAAATCTCACTTCTGAATAATTTTTCTAATACAAAAGTATGTTACACACATAGTTCTTTCAAGACTTTACCATTTTTGAACAATGTTTCTTAAAAAAAAAAAGGAAGGCTACAGTAGCACAAAGCAATCCATTGAAATGCTGCATGTTTGTACATGATTTTGGATGCATAATTAGAAATTTAACTACTTAGATTATATTAA